TTCACTAGAAACTGAATGCAACAAAATGAAAAGGATTTTCTTGATCAGATCTGAGGAGAAACGTAGAGGGAGTGTGACCTACTTATAGGGACTCAGCAAGGTAGAAAGAGAGATTTTATTTATTTATTTTCCCTTAAAATAAGATTATCCACAATTTAGAATAGGATTCAAGTGATCCCATTAAATGCACGCGGCTTCATGGAATTGGAACGTGTACACGTAACACCCCAAGTGTCGACATAGTAAACTAATATCAAGAAATAATCATTATTTATTTTATTTCCATGTAAAAAAAATCTTCAACAATTTAGATGATGTTTCCCATGAATTTCTTCACATTCACATTCTTCTCTTTTAGATTTTTAATTTTCAAAGATCTATTTACGTTCAAACGGGTCGATTTTTATGTTTATCGACATAAACTCGTATGTTAGATCGTAAATAGTTCTTGAACCTTTTCTTGCTTCAATTTCGTAACTTGTGTGTTTAAGTCACATTATTTTGGGAGAATGTATTTTGGAATAATAAATTGATGGCGAACGTGCGGTTGAAAAAGAAGAAAAAGTTATTGATGTGAAGTAAAATATTATTCTATTCAACAAAGTGTGATTGAAAATGAGCAGAAGAATGAAAATAAAAATTTTAATATGACTCAAGGACTTAAATTTTTTTTTGGATTATTTTCTATTTTTAAATCAAAACTAATATGAAGCATATTTGTCTTCGATTAAAATCCAATTAAAATTGAAAATATGATCGTTATTGGGCCCCACTCATATAATAAAAGTCAACAATAGCAGCTATCTTTTTAATTTTAATCTCTATCGAACACGCAACTTGAAATATGGGAAAACTTGTCGAATTGTCGCACAATCCAAGATGTACACGAACTTGAAACGCAAAATATACACGGACTTGAAATGCATTTGCTAACCATCAATGTCATTCCTGCCCAAGGAATGGTCAGACGCCCTTACCCATGTTTGGATAATATTTATAAAATGCTTATAATAAGTTTTTATTCAAACATTTCTTTAAATTCTCAAGTAGAATTCACTTATTTTCTACTCGATTTTATTTCTCTTCGAATAATGCAATCTATCAATAATTAGGGACGGATCCAGCACTCGACAAGCATCGACCGGGAACAATTTTTTTTATTGACTGTAAATAAAAGTTTTAGATTATTTGTTTGATGATTCATTTTATTTTCAAATATTTTTCGTGATACAATCGACATGACCGTTGACGACGATGGATCGGGTTTGTCTAATGACCGTTAATTGTGAAATGTGGGCTCCACTACGATTAAATGTCAATGGATATTATTATTTCGACAACTTTGAAGGCTCGTGAAAAAGGAAATTATTACGCCGATGGGAACGTGACAAGTGTCATTAAATTGACAGAGATATTATAAAGCTAAAGTAACCGTCCTTATTCATCGAATAATTTGAGCCATTTACGGGGAAAGCATCCACGCTATTTACTTTAATTTTTCTGTCAAATTATTAAAGGCAATTCTCAGCTTTATTCGGGGCCGGTCCGGGCCGGGCCTTCTCGATACGGACATGAAGTGTCGTAGATCGGGAACTTTGCCTACGGTATGTATGGATATTGCTTTGAGATTCGATGTTGAACATAATTGTAGTAAAAGTTCGTTTTTTCCAATATTCAAAATCTTTTATTAATTCCACATGTTTATAAAAGCATTCTATTCTTCACAAATTCATTTTTCTTGGCGCATTTCTTAGCGGTGAACCTGTTCGATCTGCATAATTTATGACAAATTTTCAAATCAAATCACTTAAGCCCTGTTTGATGGGCAAAGAATTCCATGGAATTGGGAATTTAAATTCCATTTCCAACCAAAATCATTGTGAATTTTTGAATAGCTAACACATCTTTGACAATTTGAGAGACAATCTTGTACTTTTGGCATTCAGTATGTGTTTTTCTCCCATTATTGTAGAAGAAATGAAGTAATAAATAATATTTTTTGAAGAATGTGTGGTTGAAATTTAAAGCAATTATATTGTTTTGTGTGTAGAATATTTTATTGAGTGAATGTCAGGTAGAAAATTTTACTTTAGCAAACTATGTTTTAAAATAATGGGAGACAAATTGGCCTTGAATAATATGGAGCATTGATCAAATCTTCATAGTGACCAATTAAGTAATCTACCAAATCCTTATAGCAGGTAATAGTAAATTTAGCAACAAAGTCAAACTATAATTAACAAATCCGTTGACATGACTAGAAAAATTGATTGAGAAGTACTAATAAACCAAAATACTGTTCAGAAAAAAAACTTAAGGAGCTCGATACAAATCAGAACAAAACAACAAAACTATCAATAAAATATCGCAAATAATTACAAAAAATAAGAAAAATTGAGTAAATTGACTTGGAAATTTAGGTGAAATTCGAGATAATTATTAGCAGAATGAAAAGAAATGGTACGAGTTTGAATTAAAATCTAGATGTCATTATCTATTCATGTGATTGGCGACCGATGAATATATCAGCATCCATTAAGCACTTGTGCCAATTTGAGAGTTTCACATTTATAATTGTAATAACTGATGGGTATTTGGGTATAGTTTAAATAATTAATTAGAATGGATAATTGTTTAATTGAATGTAGAAGCAGATCTAATATGGATATTTCTTTTCAACTGTGATGTGTTAGTTTTAATTGAGTTGGATAAAATTTAATTATTATTATTATTATTATTATTTGGTAAAAATTGAAATCTAAAGTAAAGGGTTTAGTTAATTTTATAATAAAAATACTTCTTCTAGTCAGAAATTATTTTAGAAAAAGTTGACCCAATAAAACTTTCTAGGAAGAGAGATGAAATTAATTTCTAAACACTAATTAAGGTAATTTTTTTATGAAGAAGCTTTTATACAAGCAGTTGAAGCAAAAACATAATCCCTATCAAATGGACCATTAGTTTATCGCTCATGATGTACATCACTATAATTTTAGAGCAAGAATAACGCTGCTTGCCATTATTGTGAAGGACCACCCGTACGAAGCGGTGGTCCACCGTGACATAGAGTAATAATCATAAAAAATGTTTAATATCAATTTGCGTAGTAATGTAATGATATTAAATGATAGAAAAATGCTGAATGTACATCCTTTTTACTCATTAAGTTTGACAGTTCTCTCACATGGTGTGTGGGGCCGCGATTGTGGGCTCCACCTCTCATGTGAGAGGACTGTCAAAATGTATGTGTAAAAAGGCTGTAAGTGTAGCATCACTCTAGATGATAATTCCAATTAAATAAACCTTACACTGAAAAATAGGAATAATTTTTTCTATATTTTACAAAACAAAGTTACACGAATATATATATATACTTACAATGACTTCCTAAGAGTAATATTATCTAGCTCGACAGTAATTATTTTAACCAATTATGAACCCCACTGTTGGATGCAAGTTGCAAGATAACACTATCCAATGCTGAGTAACATTTCTTCAATATTTGTATCTTGGCTTTGCAAATATATGACCGACCTTTGAGTGAGAGTTTCCATGTAAAATAATAATGGTCGGTCCACTGTAAAAAATAACTAAAATAAGAGAGATAAACCACCAAGAATTCGACAAGATCCAATTTGCACCTGGATTCTTTATAATAATAAACTATAAAGGTCTTTCCGGTAAAAAAATATATTTATAGGTGGTTCAATTTTTTAAGACATTGTTCATAATCGTACACACAAGTTCAAACGTGAACTTGAGACCCCCAAATATTATATTTACGTACAAATTGATTATTCAGTATCAACATGAGATGATATCATTACAAATTGAGATCGACCATCATAACGGACGCATAATTATAGCACTTATTCATCAGAGAGCTAAAATTATGATATTTCTGTAGTATATTAGTCTTCATATCGTTTTTAAATTATTATGAAAGTCAAATTATGAGTAAGGAACGGAAATATGTAATTTACCTAGATGGCTCCACCAAGCTTTGCTCCTTTCAAAATGTCCTTATAAAAAAGAACAATGCTATTTATCATTATGATGATGGACATCAGTGCAGTTTATGTGGAATAATGAGATTGAACAGTTCAATTCTTATGAAAAATGAGGACGGAGAGAAATAGAAATGTGATGGATAATATGTTATCATATTATCGATATTCCATCATTATGATGATACATTACATTACTCTACAAAAATTGTAACTAAATAACCTTTAATCATTCTCTCATGGAGAAAAATTGCGATAATGAATACAAGAAAGAAGCGTAAACAAACAAAGATGCTTTCAACTTGAAATTCATTTTTTTTTTTTTTTAAGAGCGTGAAAGAATAAACTTTTTATCAATTTTCTAAACTAAACTAAATAGGGTAGTTAACTCTAGGCTAATTAGCACAAAACGTCCCTACCTTTGGGGTTGATTTCGGAAACCGTCCATACCTTTCATTTCTTGGCATTTATGTCCTTATCTTCAATGTTTTGTGCGCTGGACGTCCTTCCGTCCACGTTCCGTCTAATTTTCCGTCAAATAAATACAAAAATGATTTTTTCTACCAATATATAAGGGTAAAATAGTCATCACCCATTGAAACCCTTCATCTCCTACCCAATTGATATTCTTCTCTTTCTTCTTCCTCTCACGACCAATTCATAAATCAAGCCGAAAAACAATTGCTGTGGTTACAACCAATTCATTGAAAATGTTGGTTCTTCCTCTCACGACATTTTCTACCAATTCAAACTTATTTTTCGGCTTGATTTATGGACCCATTTCTAGAGTGGTTACGAGCTGGCATTAGAACCCTTAATTGACACTGTTCATCCCCTACCCACCCACACGACTCCAAGAAAATTGAACCCACTTCGCATATTAATTCCCCCTTTCTTGTTTTCTCTTCAAATCATTTGCTGTTTTGCAAAGCTTTAACTTTTTCTGTATTAGGTTTTCAAGAAAATCTTGTTTAATTTCTTGAAATTGTAATAATGGCTGAAGAAGCCAAGAAATTGACAACTGAAGAGGTTGTGGTGTCTAATGTTTGTGTGACGGAGACACCCACGTCTGCCGTTGTAGAGAAGGAAGCTCCACCGCACCCAGAACTTGAGGCGGAGAAGGTTGAGAAGCCAGCGGCGGAAGAAGTGGTGGACGGTGAGAAAGAGGCGACGACGGTTGAAGATGACAAGATAGCTGAATCGGCTTCGTTTAAGGAGGAGAGCAATAAGATTGATGATCTTATTGACCCACAAAAGAAAGCCTTGGATGAGTTCAAGCAGTTGATTCAAGAGGTACGAATTCACAGCTCCTCCGCCGGCCAAGGAGGAGGAATCAAAAACCAAAGAGAAGAAAGAAGAAGAATCAAAGCCTAAAGAGAAAAAAGAAGAAACTTGTAAGGAGACTCCGGTTGAAGTTCCTCCACCAGTTGAACCCTTCAAAGAAGAGGCTCCAGTGGAGAAAAAATGGGTGATGACTATTTTACCTTTGTATATTGGTAGAAAAAATCATTTTTGTATTTAATGGACGGAAGATTAGACGGAACGTGGACGGAAGGACGTCCAACGTACAAAACGTTGAAGGTAAGGGCATAAATGCCAAGAAATGAAAGGTATGGGTGATTTCTGAAATCAACCCCAAAGGTAGGGACGTTTTGTGCTAATTAGCCTTAATTCTACAAGGGAAAATTGTCTTGTCAATGTTAAATTTGCACTTTTAGTCCTTAATCCTTTCATCCTCAACTTTCAAAAATGTACTTTCAGTTCCCAACATTTGGCATCGTGTAATTAGTCCTTATTACCATTGGTTAAACTTGGCATTAATATTCCATAACAAAGTCGAAGTGATCAAATGTTACATATTCACTGCAAGACTAAAACTAACAAGTTTTAGTACATCACAGATTATAAATATACAAAGGGATGTATGTCATGTTAAGGCATACTCTACTAAGATTCGTTCAAAAATATTGTAACATTGCTCGAACTTTAGATTATGAGTAAAATGACAAACATGTAAGACATTCAAAGGGTAAATTTTTTTCGAACCCTTTCAACTTTCTGAAGATAGGGCAAGTGGTAGATGGGATAATATTTTGATAAGGATCATGCTACATATAAATAAAGGTTACAATCAACCGCCAGATTTTTGACAATACCTCAGATTATTTAGTAACCAAAGCGTTCTCTTCAATTGCCTGCATAAGATGATCTTATTATCATTAAATATGAAATACCACACATTAAGGCCCAAAAATAGTGAGTGGAAAGAATAAATGCAGACGAGATATTGGTACCTGTTGTCGGAAATACGACTATCTCAATCAAAAGAATAAACAAATTGAACAGAAAATGAAATTCAGTAGGTGAAGCGAGATATGCCAAAGTAAATCTCCTTGATACAGATTTCGCCCACCAATAAAGTGCAAACAAGATTATGGACATATGTTTCCCAAGATACAACGCTCCTTCTAAAGTCGATACTGCACAATACTAACATTGTCGGTCGAACTAAAGAATGATTGTACTCGAACGGAATAACCACGAATATATTTGAAAGAATTTTTGCAGAATTTGGACATGGAATGAATTTAGAAATCAATAGTATATTAATTGATTTGGTGTGTTAAAAAACGAATCTGGAGGTCTCTGTTTATAGATATTGAAGTGTCTCATTGAATGTGTATGTGACATTTCATGAACACGTGCACCACTTAGTCTGATTCGTCTTAGCCATTGGATTGCACAATTTCATGATCTGGCCCAGATTAAATTATGAAGTATAGAGTCCCTTCATCATACCTACTCACCAGCCATGCAGATGTCATGCATACATCCAACTGAACCAACTGGCATGCAGGACGAAGTGACACCACATGTTATATATGTGCCACCTAGGATGCCAACTCATCGAGCCACCCGTTGCCATGTCATCGAACCATGAGTCCATTTCCGAAAAATATAAGGCTTCCCAACTCTTTGCGACGTGCGTGGGCCGGGGTGCGAGTGGTGCCACCACTCTAGTGGTGGCTAGTTCGCTAGCCTTTGACTAGCCAAAAATTAGTTAAGTTGTAGGTCACTTATTAAATTATAATTTGTATAAACATCCCACTATATAAATAAGTCTTTTTTCTTGTAAACTTTCGATATTAAATTCCTAACCATATATAAGACATTTAAAATGAGCATATATTGGAGACTTTTTCAATTCATCTAAATTAATTGTAATGGCCCACATCATTAAATGTCACATTTAATGATTGAACATACTTAAATTCAATTAATTCCAACAGTACCAACTACTAAAGGATGCAACCAAAATGATCACAAAGTTATCCTTTATTCAATTTAGCAGTGCAGTCCACTGAAATCTTTAACCAAAAGGAATTTAAGTATAGCTAGGAAATTGGAAAACAAGATTAAGGACCTCACAGACCCAATGTTCTTGATTATTCACTGGCTTCTCAGTTTGCGAAAGATTTCGTAAAAAATCCACCAGAAAATGTGCATATATTAAAGATGATTTCCTCAATAAATTTCCTTTGATGATTCTGCCACATTGTTACTTCCTCGAGTACCAATTATTATTATGTTCCACCACCTGCTTGTTTTTTGAACAATTTCATTTGAAGGAAATTCTTAGCATTCATTTTAGTGCCCAAAGCTAAAATAAACAAATCAAACTAAAATCCAAAGTATCTCAAAGCCAAAAAAAAAATCCCATTCTTTCTCTCCGAATAGAGGCTCACAGTATTCCTAAGCCATAGAGTTTGAAAACCCTATAGAATCCAAGTCTGAAGAACGAAGGAGGATCCCATGAACGCAACAGCAAACAGATAGAGGATTTGTGAAGATGATTTCTTTTCAATTGTTTGATAATTTTTAGTAACCAAAAATAAAAATAAAAAAATTGAGGTTGGCCTTAAGAACTGTCCCAAAGTGAGGCAAGCAAAAACAACCTCAAGGCGCTGTTTGTGAGGCAGTATTTAGAGGTGTACGTCTCAATTGTGCGAAGCACACGCCTCAAAACTTGCGAGATGCGGACTCCTTAATTCTCTAGACTTATTTACTTTTCTCTAGGTTTACATGTGGACCCACAAAACATAACAATTCTGAGTGACCCATTTCAGGAAAGAATAATGTTACTTACAGTCGTCCTAGGTGACACACACATGTCAAGTGTGTATTTGATGCATTAAATGTGGTTAAAAATTACCACATTAATGCATCAAATAACTACATGCCATGTGTGTATCACATAGGGCGACTGCTGCAGTGAGCGACTGCAAGTAGCATTACTCTTCAGGAAAATGCCTACTTTTTTTCTTATAGACTCGTAGTCAACTATTTCCAGTTTCCACCAACTAAAATAATACTCAGTTTTGATACTTTATAGATTTTTCTTATGTTTGTTTGCACACTTTAATTTGTTTATTATGAATTTGTTCATGATTTATTATGAGTTTATTTTCCATTTTAATCTTTTTTGGTTTACAGTGAGGCTTACCCTCGCCTCATGTTGGAAAAAGGCTTCACTATTCAATAATGCATTTTTAAACATTGGTAACAATAGGAGAATTTTGATTACTAATGGCATTGATCATGATCAAGGACCATATATGTTAGAATTTGGGTGTGATTCGAATTCTTTGTTGAAATATTTGAAATGTTGAAGAATTTTAATTGAAGTGCACGTTAAGGAGAATTCAGTTTGGAATGCTATTGAAATCATATGTCAAGTTGAAGTTCTATTTTGGAAGTCAATTGAGAGTTGAAAATCTTGTATTGGATTTGAAGAAGAATTTGGATGGAGGAAAAAAAAAAAATTCGACAGATTGCCTTGCGCCGCAGCTCTGGGCATAGGCGTCGCAGCCCCACTTGTGCTATTCGAGTTTTTCACTGTTTTCTCTCATACTTCGTTTTGGACTTGGTTTTTGGGTATCCTACTTCATCAACAACTCTATCAAGAATGTTTGGACGTCCCTTACATGTTTCCTATAAATATTAGGTTCTTCTATACAATTTTAGAAATGTGAGAAAATCGATTACTAGAATTATAGGATCTATTGTAATTTTTTTCTCTTCTCCATTATTTTTGAATTAATAAAATCCCTTGATTCCTCTGTCATATTTTTGTCTTTATTATTCTTTGCTTGATCATATACTTCATTATTATTTGTCATATAACTTCAACATTTCAAATCAGTGATTTATTTTACAGCAATTGGTATCAGAGTTATTTTGGTATCTTGTTTATTTTACAATAATATATAAGTACAAAGTAGGACAACTCTAATTATATATAATTAGCAGCTTAATTGCTGACCAACAACCATAACAGGACAAGAAGAAATAAGCTAACCATGAAGTATAAAAGTAGGACATTTGATAATTCATCCATTGTATATTTACTGTTTCCAAGCGCCTTTCTTGAAGATATTTAGCAGCCTCTTCAAATGCACAGTGTCTTACTATGCTAACGACAGACCAAGATTTCGTTCAACATATGGGAGCTTGGATTTCAACAATCGATGCAATTTGTTGGCTGTGAGAGGTGTTGACCCCAAAAAATGTTGCCAACAGATGCAGGGTCCACTGTTACACACGTAAGCTTGATCCAACACGTTAATGCCGATCAACGGTCAAGATGACTCCAGAAACTAAACGTGGGAATAGCTCAAAGACACGAGATGTTTCCGTTCGGGCTTCCGCTAAGATAAATGTAACACGATTGTATAAGAAACTAATCGATAAAAATAAGATTTATAGTTGAAATTCGCTATTCCAATGAGAGAGAAGAGAATGATATTACTTCAAGTATATGAAATTTTTCATTACCTTTTTTGTATTATATGGTGGGGGTATTTATATTGTTACAAATGAAATAATGACCATTGGATCAATTTACACGTGGCCTCATCTTCTTGGCCAGGACATCAAATCCTAGCAATCAAGTTGATTTTCCTAACCTTATAAAACATTAAATACTCTTACATTGACAAGACAAGACATAAAGTTGTTTTTCACAAAAGTCACATCAATCACTCACATAAAGATCTTCATCATTGCTATATCTTTTCTACGTAGATCTTCATTGATAACATAGCCATGTAATAAACGAAAGTCTTGGATCAGTTAAGGCCTCGGAATAAGCTGGGGCCTTGGTCTCCAAAGTCGAAGGATAGGAAAATACACCCTGGCCCAACTAAGCTGGTCCCACCACTGCAATATGGTGTCACGCGTCGCTTCCATTTACGAACCGTAACAAGAGGCATTTGCTTAGCTTTTTACCATCAAAGATAAAAGGAAAAGAGAGGGAAGGAATGAGGGGAAATAGAGAAAAGAACCCATGAGTCGTATGCATAAAACGTTGAAGC